CAGGGGACGGTCAAATTGACCCCGAATTGACCCCGCACGCAAACGCACGTTAAAACTATTGAGGTTGGGGGCTGACGCGACTCCCTGCCTTTTCCAGACTATGGAAGATAGAGCTTAGTTTTAAAAAACAACAGTGGATTGGACGCAACGATATCCCGCGCTTGGTAGCAAGGGCTACATTACAAGTCAAAAATCGTCCCAGCTTTACATCCTTATTCCTACTACATCATGCGACACGGCGACACGAAAATAAGAAACAGGCGTGTTTGTTCTCAGTCATGAAGTCCGTGGCGTACAGCTGTATGCGTTTTAACCATATGTTTTTGATGTGTGGTTCTGTTCATGTAACAGCGCCGGCTCGCCACGCGCGTTCCGCGGCAACGTTGGTTGGCGCCCGCCGCCCGCGCAGGCCGTTGATCGCCGTGCTGTGTTCCTTAAAAACCGCCGTTCCTCTAAAACCAGAAAAGCTAGAGGCGAGTTGTTCGTGTCAAACATGCGCAGTGAATGTCGCACAGTCCACTGAAAATTTTGGCGCGATAGCATGGCATGCTGGAGAGGCATCGCAAGTGCACGTTGCATCGACGTCCCCCCCCTTAGGGTTACTATCATAATTAATATTTTTTATTAACACAATTATCATAATATGACCTCAATGTCGTACCCCATTAGACTATAAGCATGCGGCACCTGAAAAGAATTTGGTCTCTCTGTATTGGACGGGCTGCCCTGCGACGCCTGTTCTCAGGCGCGATCCCACTACTGCCCGACACGGGTACTTTTGGCTGCTCGGTCGCCCGCCTGGCCCAGTACGCACCTCCTTAGACAACCTGGCGACCCCGGACTCCTCCGGGGGCCCCATATTGATGCCAGGCTTAGTGCGGACACCCGATCGACACAGAGTGCCACAGGGCAGGACTCCCTTCCTCAAGAGATCCACAAATCCATGCCTCCGAGTCGCCGGATTACAGGAGCACGCCACAACTCCCAGCGAGTTGTGGCGGGCAGCGATGCCGGGCAGCGAATCACGGAGCCAGCGTTTCTTTTCGTTTTGCACAGAGAGCATGTCTCAGCAAGTTGGCTGCAGTGGAGACAAATTGGAAGCCAAGAACGTAAGTTTTTGGAATAACTGTGGCGCCCCAAATCAATGCCCACATGTTTTTTTTTGTCCTTGCCATTACATACGAATCCGAATCCAAGCCCGAGCCCAGCCATGTTTCCGGTCATGATTTTGAGCCCGAGTAGCATTCTCTGGGATTAAGGTCTTCATGGTTACAAAAGTCCTGATCATTTGTTTTTCAGTTTTGTACCGCATCCTGCCAGGCAAGCGCAATTTGCTTACAGACTGCCAGCTAAAGATAAGAGTGGGGCGGAGATTCACTACTGAGGTGACTTAACTGACATGTCTACAGTCTGGTCCCCCACATTCTCGTGTGCAGCCATCTATTTTCCATGCGCACGAAGGTCATGCGATGGACGCAGTCAGAATGACCCATACCTGTCCTGTGCGAAGAGAGCAGCGTTAGTGCGTGCGATGCGGCTGCAGCACTGCTGCCATCTATCGAGAAATAGCAGCACCATGAGTTGCTAATGGTTTCTAGGTGAGCAGATAGTGCGGATTCCGGAGATGCAGCCAGTGCCACGGCCAGCGTCTATCACGCTGTATGGGTCTGGGCGTGGTCGGTTTGGGTCTGCGGCAGAGCAGGCCTGTCACATGAACAATGGAACGGACTGTTTTTAATAACGGGCGATGCAGGTGTCGCTGCTGCTTTTAGGCACTGCTGCACTATGTTGCAGTCACAGTAGAAGTTACAGCTGTTTATGCGGCTAAAACTGCCATAAGGTGTCCCACAGAACGCGACTTGTCTGCTGTAAAATTATTTCTTGTGTCCGCGATTGCCGCAAGTGCGCCTCTTCTGATGACTGCGCGGAGCATTGGAATAAGACACTGCAGGCCTCGTAGTTGGGGTGACTTCACCCAACGTCGGTGTCGTGTCGTTGGAGTTCTGTTGACATCTGTCATCCACACTCTGACAGCCATCAGACATTGCATAGGACTGCCTGCAGGGGCGACTGCTCTCACGCATATGGCATATGCACTGACGGAGGTAGTGCATATACCATATGCACTACCTCCTAGGCATCTCACTTGCTCTGGTTATGGGCCATTCGCAACATCTGACTTGTATAAGCCGGTACACCAAGTACGTGTGTGGAGGGACACCGCACATTGTGTAGTTGCATGTTACATGAATGAACCTTGGCAGAAGTGGTAAAATTATTGTCTTCGTGGGGAGAAACGAAGATCGTGCGTTGCAAATTAGCGACACAAATGCAAAAGTCTGAAATAAACGGGTGCCAGCGGTTAGCCTGATATTCAACGGGTATTGGACAGGTTGCATAATGGTGTTATGAAATGGGGGCGGGTCAAGTAGGAAGCCTCTTGCTCGCGAAGAGTGTTAGTTGCTTGCAGGCACGTGCAAACTCCACTTATTCTTTTGGCAGGTCGTCTTTCAAGTGTCAGAATCCATGTAAGATTCGTTGCAGTACATATCTGTCAAGCCCGGTTTGCTGGACGTTTTTAAAACACCGTTTTTTGCAAGAACTAGTGTTACATTTATTTGTTTCATTTCCGAATGGAAATCATCAGAATTCAGATTGATTTAACAGGTCGATTCACCTGGAGTGATTATTACACAATGTCTCCGGTAAGCTGGTCATTCCTAAGTCCCTTTATCTAGTGTCAACATGTATACATCTTTTAAATTATCGTTTCGCAAAACCTCTCTGACATTTCGAGGCATGTTTGAAATACGATAAGTAAGATAGAATATTCATATTACCCATGACACCTTTAAGGACACGTAATGGCCAGATCTGTTCTGTATTCCTGGTACCGTGCAAAGCTTTGTCCGAACCCGCAGGACCGATTCCCATCCTACCCTTTCATACTAAATATAAGGGTGCTGTGGGGTTTGAAATGCTTTGCGAAGCTTTTTCAAAGCATGACCTGATATCCTGAGTCCTCTTTGGAAGCCTGGAAAACATCTCGCAGCACGACACCCTTTTTGACACGAATTGCCTATTATGATCGAAAAGCGCTCTAAACTCTACTAGAATGTCTACTAGATTTCTGGTTTCCGGGCTTCACACAAATGTCTGGCTGGCTTGCTGTGGCTTTATCGCACGACAAACAACATTGACACGACATGACATTGACACGACAACAACTGACAGACAGCACTGACATCTTACGGACGTGCAGTGACAGAAGACGCCTTCAAATTTAGGAAAGCATATTCACTAACGAACTCTCTCCGGCCTTAAACAGACGGACACATTCTCGCAGAACTCTTGAACTACTAGGTGGTAGGCGGTGAGCACTTCTGATGTGATTGTGACAATAGGGTCCCCATTGTGTCTTTGTGATGTTCCCATTATGAGTGTTTCTTACATGTATGAAAATGAAAATAGCAATCCGCCTTACTTCAATTAGTTATGCTTCATTTATGTTCTCCGTACCAAAAGATGTTTTCCAACGATAGTGCACAATTTTTCATCCTTTAAAACTCAAAACTCATTTCTTGTGCAATTTAGTCTTCTCCGAAGATGAGATAAGATCTCGAAACGTTAGAATGGAAGGAGTGATGAATATATGAGTAATTTTGTGCGAACCATCTAAGCGATGCGCATCATCTAAGCGGTGACGCAAAGTCAGAGGCCCGGAAACTAGAACGATGCATCAAAAAGCTTGTCAATGCTGAGTCAGCAGTTGTTTTTAATCAAACATGTATCAAAGAAAGAATTTTGCCAAAATATTCCAACACACACACACACACACACACACACACACACACACACACACACACACACACACACACACACACACACACACACACACACACACACACACACACACACACACGCACACACACACACATATATATATATATATATATATATATATATATATATATATACATTGATCATCACATGGATTCATTAGAAATCCTCGCCACCGGCTCCGGAAGTAGTGATGGCCAGAGCAATATAACGTGCCAGGCGTGAAATTGTGATTGGTTTGTTTGCTGCTGAAGAAATTGGCCTGCTAGCATCACTGTTCAGCTGGCCGTGCAGGGGATCGTGACGTGTTTTTCCCGCTCGGTGCGTCTTCTTACTACGAGATGCGTCTTTACTGTGTAATGATGCCACAGTTCTGACCTCACCACGGACGCAGCGTTAACTGGATACCACACCGTCCTTTCAAAACAGCAGCATTTTTTCCCATAACATCCCATCTGAAGACAAAGTACGAAAATGACAACATTTCGCACGTCCGGGATTTGTTGGAATTGAAAATCCACGCGAGGGAATCGGACTTTTCTGCTTGCTTCCGACAAAACAAGTTGGGACACTTTTGTGGGGGGCTCAGTACTCGTCACTTTTCATCTTTGCTGCCTTATGGGCGTCCTCTCCAGACACTATCAACTGTTGTCTTGAAGGTGCCGGATGAGGGGATCTGATCTGTATTTCTTCACGGGGAGCCTTTCGCTAGCACTCCACATCAACTGCATCAACCAATAAATAATGCCCGGAAACCGGTCTGCGCGGAGATAGGGACGAGTGCACATTGCTAGCGCTGCAATGCAGCACAGCACACGGCAACGGGAACGGGGGTCGCAGTGGAGCAGCGGATAGCTAATCGACTCATTCCCACCGGGCCCTCTTCCTGTGGCGCCAAGGGAAATCAGTAGCGCGCTCAGGACCGACGCTCGGGGGCATTTATAGTACTAGCACGCGCTTCCCCACAGCCTACGTCTCATTTGGAGAGCCTCCGACGAGGCATCAGCAGAGGTGGCTCTCAGCCCGCCCAAGCCAGCCGCCCCGGCGCGCGAACCTGACTCCGCCCCTGTGCGTGCCAGGTGCGCAGAGGCGAGGGGCGGCGCCGGGCGCCGGAGGGACAGGACGACGGTAGCGCCGGCGGAAGCGGGGGCGCCGGGCGGCCAGGTGGGGGTGGCACGCGTCTGTAGCGACGGACACGGCGAGGAGACGTGGCCACGAGCGGACGGATACGGTGGCGAGACCTGTTGGTGGGCGGACGGACACGGCGGGGAGACTGGAAGCGATCGGACGGATACGGTGGGGAGACTGGCAGCGAGGGCACGGATACGGTGGCGAGGCTGCCGGCGAGCGAACGGATACGGTGGCGAGACTGCTGGTGAGCGGACGAATACGGTGGCGAGACCAGTAACGAACAGACCGATGCCGTGAGGGATCGGCCAGAGGCCAAACGGACGAATACGGTGGGGACACGGACTAGCGAGTGGACCGGAAGCGGCGGAAAGGCTGGTCGCCGAGCGCGTGGACGCAGTGGACAGTCCACCGTTTCCTGTTCGCGGTGACTCCGGAAGTGGACGTTTGGGAGACTGCCGCAACTATTAACGCTGGAAACGGAGAAGACGGTGAACGGCGCTGCACCTGCGGGGAAGGTGACAATATCAGCTTCGCTTTGAGGTATTTGCTTATGGGTGAGTCGGCGGGAGAGATTCCCGGTATGTGTACCTGCTCATTTCCAACAATGATGCTTAAACAATACAGAAATTCTTTATGTCAAAGATTTTGCGTTGCTTTCAGCTTCTTTTTTGTTGGTCGGGGGTATTGTTTGTTGGCTGTAGCACGTGACTTACCATCGACAATCATGAGATCCGGTCATAAACATGCGTGAACGCTGAACTGATGAACTTCTTCCGACGAGGATTATTCCCATACAAAAGATTAAAACGCTGCCAGCCACATTTCTCCCCCATCCTAGCATGGCCAGAGAAGCCGATCCTCCACGTTGCTAGGCTTAATCTGCAGTTAACCTTCCGCTCCGTTATGCTTGGGCTACAGCCGACCTTCCGCTTCTTTATGTCTGGGCCGCATCATTTCCGGCGTGATTTGGCCCTACCCTAACCGACCCTAACCAGCGTTTGCGAAGAAGTGCCCTGAGTGGTGGGTGTCCCCTCCCCTCTCCCCGACCTCCTTCCCGTCCCAAGCCCGGCAATAAATGTATGGTGTCTCATGCCAAGAGATACGCCGAAGCTTCCATCTTAAATATGAGGCATGCTCTTTATCTTGACTCCGCATTAGCCTTCCCCATTCATATCCTGCTGATCCTGCTTGTCATTTATGTGTTATTCTGTAGCAAGGCTCGTGCAGTTTACAAACGACGCCGTATGTTTTGTTCACTTGTCTGCCAGGTCATGATCACAAAAACAACAAATAAAAAAGAGTGGATGCCAGTTGGTTGATGCGTTGCTATGCAGCATTGCACCGGGTGATCTCATGCTTGCGAATGGTTGCTTGGCTGGTAGGGAGGTATTTGTGTTAGCCGTCTGGAGCATTTACTACAGGTAGGCATCGCACATTCGAAATATTTGGATTTTGAAAATCGATGGCCAGTTTCTCAGGACAAAAAGGTTCCCCACGATACGCGCTGTACACTCTCAATCAGCCTTTTGGTGACGATTAAATAATCACCACACATATCTCCTCTATACAGCGACTTGAACGCACCGGCCACCGACATCGTTCGTAGCCCGTGGTGGCGTTGATGGCAGTTCAACCGGCGGTTGACACTTAAACTAACAGCTGACGCAGACTAAGAGAGTGTTTGTGTCATTACTGAAGTCTGTTGTTGTGTATCACCCACGGATGAAAAGGCATGGATAAGCGTCAAAACGAGGGAATGGCGCCAACTCAACAGATGTTACCTTTTTGACGACTGAAGTCGCGCATTTGTGTCATTGCCAAAATTTGTTGCAGTGCATCGCTCACGGATGAAAAGGAATCCACGGACGTCAAAACAAGGGAATCATGGAAACTTGACAGATGTTGTCCATTCCGTGACCGAAGGCTGTCATTCCGTCAAGCCCAATTACCTGGGGTGGTGTGCAACAGTAGCCCAGAAAGCAGGATTCATAGCCGCATGTGCGGCGGCTAGAAAAACCACGTTCAGTAAACCAACTCAGCTGTGGGTGTTTTAGCGAATCGAGATGCCGTCAGCCGCGCTCCTTATTTTGGCTTTTTACATGTGGCTCACAACGACTCTGATTTTCTGTACCAGATTAGGTAAACCAATGAACTACTTATGCAGCCTTTCCCGCTAAAAATAGCATAAACATAACATCTCACTTAACGTCTCTGAGCTAAACTGGACACAGCGAGAGCGCTACCAATCTCACGCGGTTCGACTTCCCAATACGGCGGCCCGTTTGTCGCTGAGTCATCGGACAGGTATCCCCCTCCTCCCCCTGCTACCTTCGGTACCCTCACCGTCACCCCTCCGTCCCAGAGGGCACCCCCAAACAATAGCAATCGATGTGTGGGGGAGCGCTTTATTGACCGAGTGCCCCCCCCCCCCCCCGTCCAGCACAGTATTGGAGCGCACGCGCCGGCCGATCTAAATAAGGTCTGAGTGATATGAGTGGTTGGGGTTAGCGGCTGCAGCGGTACCAGGTCGTTATGGCGCCCGATCCGTTGAAGGGGTTGGCAGCAATTTAAAACTGACGGAGGGCGCGCTGTGTGCCTGCCCTGGCGCTCCCAGCGAAACCACGTGACTGCGTGCTCAGCGTGGCGAGCGCTGTGTGGGAGCCATCCAATCCGGGAAGGATTTGGTAGTAATTCAAAACTAGCGGTCGGCTCATTGGGCGCTTGCTATGGCGATTCCCTGGAAACCGGGATAGTTGCGTGTTTAGTGTTGGGAATTCTACAACCCATTATGGAAAGTGGCATTTATAGTTGTTAAACCATGCGTTAGTCACTTATTTTCCAACCGCGTTTCAGTTTTCGGCTGCAAGTTGCTAGCTGCTGGCTACAAGCTGTGTTTTACTGGGCCTTAATGACTGGAACGCTCCTTAAGAAAACAACATCGAAAAGCAGCGTCCAGGTTAATTTAATTTTCACAACATCATTACACGACATTGCGACATAATTTTTACGACATTAAAATCACGACATCCGTCGTAATTTGTGCTTATATTTGCTGTTGGAGATCATGCTCCGCGTATTCTACGCGGCACGTGGCACCACGTGTGCGGCGAGCCAATGCGACGCATCGTTGAGCTGCTGCCACCAGTGCCGAGCTCTCGCGTCTCTTCTCACCGGTCTGTTTGTTAGGAGTCGGCTTAGAGCCCCTTCCATGGAGGTCCCCGCTGAGCCGCTCTAACAGGGAAGCACGTGACGACATTTTCAAAAAATATGTAAAGGTGAAAAGCAAGTTATGTTATGACACTGATATTTTAAACGAAGCTGAGCTTTCTTTTCTCCTCGTTCTTGTTTCTTCTCCTGGTGTACATGCTTGACGGTGCCCTTCCCTTCATCCGTTTCTTTTTTGGTACGACGGAAGCCGCTCTAGCAGCCAGTGATGCGTGACAAGTCAACCATCTCTCATGCTGCCAATTCCGGCCAATCGCGGGCTGTCGCTCGATTGTGATCACCTGCTCCCACCAATCAGCGGCGCCACGTCCTCCACTTCCCACCAATCTGTTCTTCGAAATAAGGTGTAGCGTCGCCGAGCACATTCCTTTCAGCTTATTGTGGGCATCTCGGCGATGTCCATCAGCCAGTCACAAGCCGGGCACTTCTGCGGTTGAGGATGTCACGGTTAGACACCGCCAGGTGACGCTACCACCGCCGCATTCTCTTTGTCGGGAAAAATGTCATGATCTTTACCTTGGATTCGAGATCCTTTGGATGTCGTGCACAGAACGCAAGGCGTCTGTCATTCATCTGTCATTTTCCACGAACCGGGAGCGTCAATGCAAACACTTTTACCGCAGGGTTCGGCGAACCTGACATATCATGTTATCCTGACCTGACGACCGAACTTGACATATCCTGACATCTTGATCTGACGACAGAACCCGACGTATCCTGACATCTTGGTCTGGCGACCGAACCTGACATATCCTGACATCCTGACCTGACGACCGAACCTGACATCCTGACCTGACGACCAAGCATGAAATATCCTGACATCCTGACCTGACGACCGAACCTGACATATCATGACACCCTGACCTGACGACATAACCTGACATGTCATGATATACTGATCTGACGACTGAACCTGACATGATTTCGCCAGCGGTCATAGCCAACATTGTTGTTGGCCATTAGAACAACGTCGGTTGAAGTGTTCCATCGAAGGTTTCCCGTTCCGGTGTTTGTCTAGGTCGAACATTCATTCGTTGGCACCTTGCCATATCACCAGTTTCGGTGCGGGAATTTACACATTTTGAGTATTCTAGCGTTGTAACGTTCATGAAAGATAGAGCTTAGAGGAAAACGCCAGTTAATTAGTCTCATCAAGATTGAGCGGTTAATAATAAGCTTCGTGTTTCAGGGTCAATAGCTGCTCCTTTTTTTGCCAGGTCCAAGGGAGAATTTTCCCGAAAATCAAAATGTTCATCCCTTTACATGGGCATGTAATGCTCATATGTACGGGACAATGCTTGATAGCGACACAAAACCTAAACAGACGTGTTCACTGTTTGATCCTGAGCACAATGATGCATGGTTTGTATTATTATGACGCATGGATCCCTTAAAATAGCAATGTCGGCTGCCGCACACGGTCCGCAGAGTCGTGGCGCGCCACCCGCCGCTGACGTCGGGCGCAGAATGCCATACAGTGTTCCAAAAAAAAAAATTCTGCGTAAACTGGAAGCGTTACGGACAGGTTGCTCCGCTGCTCCTAAAAAGCCCGGGAAAGGAGGACTCCGTGAAAACAAATACCGACCGAATCGGACGCGTTTGCTCTAGCTTTGAGTGAAAAGTGAAAAAGGTGGGATGCTTCTTTGAACAGTTGCATCGCATGTATTGTAAACATAAAACGCGTAACGTGGTCTCACCTGCCCACCAAAGCTCGTCTTTTGGTGTCAGTTCGACGCACGCATCCACCCTCGCCAGAACAGAGATTGACGCAAAAAAGCAGCAAGCAGATCGGGGTGTCTGTCGCGCGGGGATAGCGGCGTACGCACGATTTCACAATGGGCGGGGGGGAGGCTCAATGAAAAAGTCGCTGAAAACGTGTTCAGCACATCGCAGCCGCGCATAATTCCTACCGTGTAGTGAAACAACACAGCATCCCTTTGATCTTCTTATGTGTGCATGTAGTCATGACTTCACGAACTGTCATCATTGAATCGCACATACATGAGCGCCTACCATAAATTCGGGAAAGACGGGTGGGGGGCAGTATAAGTGTTCAGAGAGGAACTATGTGCGCATTTCTTTGTACCGCGATCTCGCTGATATAAATATAAGCCGTCAATACATAACCCATGATCAGTAGGCAGCTACCTTTTGCAATTTACTTAAAGTGATATGTGAAACGATGAACAGCACAAGTTTACTACCATGGGCTGAGTTTACTACCATTACTGAGTGATTTTTAAGATGTGATGTGGTGACCCACAATGACAAAGTATAGTAACGCATGCAACCTACGCAATATTTTTACGCTACCTTGTTCATTCGATTT